CTCCTGGAGGAGTGACCCGCTGAATGGCCACAGCAGGGATGGTGCAGAACTGTAGCACTCTGATACTGCTCTGGACCTACCACACTGCATGCTTACACCAACCCCATTCCCCATAACCTGCATGTGAATATTGGCCTGTTTTCTCCTTTAGGAACAAAGCTCTGCGCCTCTGTAGCACAAGTGTTTAATTCAAGCAGCGGGAGGGCAGCAATTTCAGAGTGCCACAGTATCTCAAGAGACAGGTCACAGCAGTGCTCTGTGGCTTGAGGATTGCCCCAGGGCCAGCAACTCCAGTACGGTGTAACGCAGTCAGTCAGAGCCCAGGGAGGGAGAGCCATTTGCATAAACTGGTGCCTACCTTTCCGACAAGACACTGCTTCCCCCAGTGTCAGTGCATGTTCCTGGAAAAAGACTGCCAGGCTCTCCCCTGCGAAATCAGCTCCTCAGCTTCAGCTACGGGAGGTGCCAGACCTGAGCCCGGGCACAGGCCCAGATCTCACAAGGCAACGTTTTGCTATGGGCTCTCCCGGGGAGCTGCTGCTGTGAAAACTGGTCATTTCACCTAGGTCCTGAACCAGGCAAGTAGTTTGGCATCTACCTCTTCCTGCAAAGCACAGGAACAGCGTGCAAGCTTTGTTTTGCAGACCTAGGCTTTTGTCTGTCTCAGTTCTCCACCTGTTAATACAGTAACAGCACTGCTCTGCCTGCAGCAGGGAGTGACTCAATAATTACAGTAAAACATGCAATCCCCAGCAGACTGGACAAGGCCAGGCCCAGTTAGCAACACAAAGAGACACAGGAGCAGGGAAAGAAAGCATCTGGCCCTGCTGAGTGTAGGGAAATCCTGCGAAAAGCAACCCAAAGGTCCAGAAACCAAAGGTCATGGAAATGGTCCCACAGCCAGACCACATGCGGTCAGTAGCAAGGTTTTGGGGAGCCAAGTCAGGTCTAGCTCAAGGCTACAGTTGTTCTGCTCTCGGACTCCCTTTCCTCACTGCAGAACAAGTGCCCACCGCTTCCCGCGCCTGCCCAGGCCAGGCTGACTCCAAATCAGAGCGCCCAGGCGCTGCCACTGCAAACCAACTACCCACCAGGCTGCCTGGCAGCCAAAAGGCAGTACACACGGCACGGAGGCAGGGCTTGGACCGTGCACCTCACCGCCCTCAGCATCACTGCCAGGCGGTGCTGGGGTGGGCACGCTGGGGTGGGCACGCTGGGGTGGGCACGCTGGGGCGGGCACGCTGGGGCGGGCACGCTGGGGTGGGCGTGCTGGGGTGGGCGTGCTGGGGTGGGCACGCTGGGGCGGGCACGCTGGGGTGGGCGTGCTGGGGTGGGCACGCTGGGGTGGGCACGCTGGGGTGGGCGTGCTGGGGTGGGCACGCTGGGGTGGGCACGCTGGGGTGGGCGTGCTGGGGTGGGCACGCTGGGGCGGGCGTGCTGGGGTGGGCACGCTGGGGTGGGCGTGCTGGGGTGGGCGTGCTGGGGTGGGCATGCTGGGGTGGGCACGCTGGGGTGGGCACGCTGGGGTGGGCATGCTGGGGTGGGCGTGCTGGGGTGGGCATGCTGGGGTGGGCATGCTGGGGTGGGCGTGCTGGGGTGGGCATGCCTGTTGTCTCCAGCACACGGCCCCGACCGGAGGCTGTGCAGAGGCAGCCAGCTCTGCTTGGAAATGAGAGCAGCAGTGTGAACAGAGGGGCGAGCACCCCGGCAGCAGAAGCGGTGGAAGAAACATTTAAAGGAGACTTGATTCCTGCTCCAACCAGATTAAAAAAGAAAGGACCTGCGCTGCAGAGAGAAGGGGCATGGCCTAGCTCACTGCCGACAGGTGCCTTCCTGCTGGGGCTGTGCAAACTTCTGGCGCTCTGGAAGCAGAGCCCCCCACAGCCCCTACCCTCGGCCTCGCTTCCCCTGCCAGTGCTCCCCTCCAGCCCCAGCACCGACCCCCAGCACACTGCCTGCCCAAGCACAGCCCTCCTGCCAGTGCCGCTCCACTGCGCTCCCATCAGCGGCACTGACAACAGCCCTTTGCAAGCCTTTCACACCATTACTACGTGGACTGCAAAGGGCAAGAAGCTTTGGGAGCTCCAGCAGCAAGCAGGGTCTCTCTCTTCTGATCCACCACCCCCTTCCTCAGTCAGCGTGGCCTCACTCAGTCCTTCCTGGGGCTCTTTCCCCAGTGAATACACAGAATGCAATGGTCCTAGGGAGACAGTCCCTGGTGGGGACACAGACTCTGCCCTCCCACCCCACTGCCCAATGCTCCTGCGATGCAGAGATGTAACCAGCCCGAGGTGCACAGCAGCTCAGCTCTGGCAGTGTGCAGGCAGACAGGGCAGAAAAAGGCCAGCTGGGGCCATGGGAAGAAAAATGGATTCACATCAGGGGGCACAGGGTGCAAGGCAGAAGCCCAGCCACGTGCTGCAAAGCTGTGTATGGATGAGCCTTGCCAGTTGTGCAAGGAAATCCTGGTGGAAACACCACCAGCCAATCCATACCACCTGGCTTGCTTGGACATTACCCGTCGCTGCTTTCCAGCCCATGGACACGGGGGCAAGGCAATGCTCAGGGCCGGTTCCAGGCAGCTCAAGCTTCCCTGGAAGCCAGGAGCCGAATGCACTGCTGCCAGAACAAGCGGCTGCCTCCCTGTGATTCACCACAGCTCACGGTGCGGGCATGGCACTCACTGCTCTTTGTCATTGCTCATGACGAGGGGAGCCTCCCTGTCCTGCCGGAGGGCAAGCTGGGCCAGCGCGGCGCAGGAGCAGGAGAGGGAGAAGAGAAGAGAAGGAAAAGGAGGAAGAGAGGAGCAGGAGAGGAAGAGGAAAAGAAGAGGAGCAGGAGAGGAAAAGAAGAGGAGCAGGAGAGCAGAAAGAGAGGAGAGGAAGAGGGAGAGGAAGAGGAAGAGGAAGGGGAAGGGGAAAGGGAAGAGGAGCAGAGCAGGAGAGGAGAGGAGAAAGAGAAAAGTAGAGGAGCAGAGCAGGAGCAGGAGAGGAGAAAGAGGAGCAGGAGCAGGTGAGGAAGAGGAGGAGAGGAGCAGAAGAGGAGGATGAGAGGAGAGGAAGAGGAAGAGGAAGAGGAAGCGGAAGAGGAGCAGAGCAGGAGAGGAGGGGAGCAGGAGAGGAGAAAGAGAAAAGTAGAGGAACAGAGCAGGAGAGGAGAAAGAGGAGCAGGAGCAGGTGAGGAAGAGGAGAAGGAGAGGAGCAGAAGAGGAGGATGAGAGGAGAGGAAGAGGAAGACGAAGAGGAAGAGGAGCAGAGCAGGAGAGGAGAGGAGCAGGAGCAGGTGAGGAGGAGGAGAGGAGCAGGAGAGGAAGAGGAGAAAGAGAGGAGCAGGAGAGGAAGAGGAGAAAGAGAGGAGCAGGAGAGGAAGAAGAGAAGGAGAGGAGCAAGAGAGAAGGATGAGAGGAGCAGGAGAGGAGGAGGAGGAGGATGAGAGGAGCGGAAGAGGAAGAGGAAGCGGAAGAGGAAGAGGAGCAGAGCAGGAGAGGAGAGGAGCAGGAGCAGGTGAGGAAGAGGAGAAGGAGAGGAGCAGGAGAGGAGGAGGAGAGGAGGATGAGGGGAGCAGGAGAGGAAGAGGAGAAAGAGAGGAGCAGGAGAGGAAGAAGAGAAGGAGAGGAGCAAGAGAGAAGGATGAGAGGAGCAGGAGAGGAGGAGGAGGAGGAGGAGAGGAGCAGGAGAGGAAGAGGAGCAGGAGAGGAGGATGAGAGGAGCAGGAGAGGAAGAGGAGCAGGAGAGGAGGATGAGAGGAGCAGGAGAGGAAGAGGAGAAGGAGAGGAAGAGGAGAAGGAGGATGAGAGGAGCAGGAGAGGGAGAGGAGAAGGAGAGGAGGATGAGAGGAACAGGAGAGGAAGAGGAGAAAGAGAGGAGCAGGAGTGGAAGAAGAGGAGAGGAGCAGGAGAGAAGGATGAGAGGAGCAGGAGAGGAAAAGGAGAAGGAGGATGAGAGGAGCAGGAGAGGAAGAGGAGCAGGAGGAGCAGGAAGGTGCAGAGCAGCGGTGCGGCGGGGGGCTGCAGGGGGGCCGGGGCGCGGGCGTGGGGCGCGGATGCCATCTGCTGGAACCGCTCACCGGCCGGAGCCGCCCTGCTCCCGGCGCGGGGTCCCGCAGCGCTGCTGGGGCCGGGCAGGCGCGCAGCCCCCCCCAGGGCAGGTGCGCAGCCCCCCCGGGCAGGCGCGCAGCCCCCCCCCGGGCAGGCGCGCAGCCCCCCCCCGGGCAGGCACGCAGCCCCTCCCCGGGCAGGCGCGCAGCCCCCCCGGGCAGGCGTGCAGCCCCCCCCCGGGCAGGCGCGCAGCCCCCCCAGGCAGGCGCGCAGCCCCCCCCCCCAGGGCAGGGGCGCAGCCCCCCCAGGGCAGGCGCGCAGCCCCCCCCCGGGCAGGCGCGCAGCCCCCCCCCCCAGGGCAGGCGCGCAGCCCCCCCAGGGCAGGCGCGCAGCCCCCCCCCGGCAGGCGCGCAGCCCCCCCGAGCAGGCGCGCAGCCCCCCCGGGCAGGCACGCAGCCCCCCCAGGGCAGGCGCGCAGCCCCCCCCGGGCATGGGTGCAGCCCCCCCAGGCCAGGCGCGCAGCCCCCCCCGGGCAGGGGTGCAGCCCCCCCCGGGCAGGGGCGCAGCCCCCCCCCGGGCAGGCGCGCAGCCCCCCCCCCCGGGCAGGCGCGCAGCCCCCCCAGGGCAGGGGCGCAGCCCCCCCCAGGGCAGGCGCGCAGCCCTCCCCCGGGCAGGCGCGCAGCCCCCCCCCGGGCAGGCGCGCAGCCCTCCCCCGGGCAGGCGCGCAGCCCCCCCGGGCAGGCGCGCAGCCCCCCCCCCCAGGGCAGGCGCGCAGCCCCCCCCAGGGCAGGCGCGCAGCCCCCCCCGGGCAGGCGTGCAGCCCCCCCGGCGCCCCCGGCTCCGCCGCGCTCTCCCGTGCCCGGTGCGGAGCGAGGGCTGCCCTGCCCTGCCCTGGCACAAAGCCCCGCGCACCTCCCCAGGGAGCCGGCGCTCTCGCAGCGGGGAGAAGGGAGGAGGATCGCACCTGCTTCATGGGAATGGCCCGCCCGCTGCCGATACTGTCCGCTTTACACTCCGGCACCTTCTTCTCCCGCTCCGGGTCCGCGCCCTTCCGAGACTGGAAGAGAAGAGACACGGGTCCGTTAGAGACAGGGGCACGCGAGGACAGAAGCGCACAGCCCCACCATCCCCAGCGGGCTGCCAGAGCAGACCGGACCGGACCGGACCGCTCTCCCCCAGGCCAGGTCTCCCAGCGCATGGAGCAGCCAGCATCTCGCCCGTCCCCTCTAGGGACACTCCAGCCCCAGCCTCCCCCCAGCCTGTCCCCCGGCAAGCTGTCCTCTCCCCCCACACCTGCAAGCAGAGCTGTCCTCCTAGCAGAACAGGGCTACCTCTGACCCCCCTCCCGCGGGGGCACACAGGACATGGCGACAGACAGAAATGGCATGGGATGCAGGTGGAGCATGGATGGAAGCAGGAGAGGCTAAGGCAGTGAAGGAACTCACACCTCTACTAATCCAACAGATTTATTCTGTTAACACACTTGCACCATACAAAGTAGCACAGGTCACCGGGCAGAGATACCAGCCCCTTACAAAAGAGCATGGACAATAAATATCTATCACACGTCTAGAGAGTTGAGAGCAAAACCCGCCAGCCCCCGAGGGCAGCTGCGGTGAGAGCAAACTCCAATAAATACAATATGAAATATACAGTCTGTTGAGCAGAACTCATTCAAAGTGCTTAGGACAGAGGAAAATATCAAGTCATACACGGCATGGAGCACAATCAATACATTCAGAATCACAACAATGGCAGAAGGGCAGCGGCAGCGTCTCTCCGGAGCGTCCTACACACCCCCTCAGTCCGGGAGCGCCCCATGTGCTTTGGATCAGAAAGGGACACAAGCCCCACGCGCCTGGGACACCGATTCACTTGCTTTTGGGCCCAGAACAAAACAAAGAGATTGAAAGAGAAGAAAACTAAAGAGACATAGATGGCTGCTCTGCTGCGAGGAGGAAGAGGAGGAGGAGCAGGAGTCCATGCAGGCTGCAGGAGGTGCAGTAGGGAGGAAGGAGCTGAGTGCTAGCGGCAGGCGCTAACAGCAGCTCCCGCAGGCAGCAGCAAAGCGTCTTTTGGCCCATCCAGCTCCACTCGCTGCTGTCGCCCGGTCCCGGCGGGTCTGCAGGTCTTCCCATCCCATGAGGGTCGTCCGCCTGGCATCCCCGAGCATGGAAAGTGCCTAGACAGCATCCAGCAGGCCCAGAAATGTCCCAGCTTAAAGTGCAGGCGCAGGCCGTCTCAGCGCTTCCTAGACTTTACATTGGGGGGATTTAAAAGGCTCCTGCGTGTCTCCGAGGGGGGGACCCATGCTGGCTGGAGGGCGGGCGAGCCTCTAATCTTAGATCAATCCCAGTGCCCATCCCTTATCCGGCCCTGGAGAGGCAATGAAAAGTGAGAGAATTTGTACAGAGGTGCCGTGTGTAACCACCTGGATCTTCTAATTTGGAAGGAGTTGGAAAGGCCTTTTTGTTGATGAAAAGTTGGAAACAGTGGCACATATCTGCAAATATCGAAAGAATAAAGAGTTTGGCAAGTTATACTCAGAACACGGACACGAGTCTGTCAGCGATGGGCGCCAGCGGACAGGCAGACAGACAGGGCACGGAGCGAGGCGCCGGCGGCAGCAGCAGTCGGGGTGTGGGCTCCAGCTAGCGGGGACGGGGCGGGCGCCTCGGGCAGGGTCTGTCTCCACCCGGTGGTCTCGGGCACCGGGGTGCAATCGGCGTGGGGAGCGGGGAGCGGGAGAGGAAGAGAGGAGAGGAGAGGAGAGGAGGAGGAGGAGGAGGAGGAGGAGGAGGAGGAGCAGGGGGAGGAGGGTTGGACGCTAAGGAGCCGGCACAGCTCGGGACTGGGGCTGCAGCTGCCCCTGGAGCCGAGCGGAGCGCGGCCCTGCCCAGCACCGGACCTCGGGGAGGCCTGTGCCCAGCCGGGGGACCCCGCGAGGAGGGGGGCTGCTGGCTACACCTACGCTGCCTGCCTGGGAAAAGCTAGTGGCAGAAAAACAGCCTTCCCTGCCCTTCCCCTCCCCGCTCTGCCTGGCCCTGTCCCACTGCGGGAGGAGGTGTCGGGAGCTGCTGCTGCTGCCACGACCAAATGGGGTGAAGACTTCAATGTGAGCCACGTATGTGCACCAGCACAAGAGCAAGCAAGTGAGCGTGAGCCCCAGCACCACGGTGAGTGAGCGCGAGCCCAGATGAGCACAGGTGAGCCCCACAGCGAGTGAGCAAGCTTGAGCCCAGAATGAGCGAGCAAGTGAGAGCCCTAGGCGGATGATGACGTCCCACAGCAAGTAAGCGTAAGCCCCACAGCAAGCCGCCCTCCTCCTCCCCCCCATGAGCGTGTGCCCACACCAAGTGAGCTGAGCATGGGGCTCCAGGAGGAGGGAGAGAGTGTGAGCATGAGCTGACGGCGAGTCCGGAACCCGTCGGGACGCGGGCGAGCAGGATGGGTGGCAGTGCATGAGCGCCCGCGTGCACTGGTGCACAGCAGCAAGCATGAGCAAGAAAAACGGCGGGGAGGGAGGAGAAGCATCCACCAGCACTGAAGTGCAACAGTAAGCATGACCATCGACAACGGGAGACCTACGGGGCATCTTCAGGGAGGCGTGAGCACACAGAGGAGGGGAGGGCTAGTACGGAAACAACCATGTGTCAGGAGCAGTGGATCTGCTGCAAAGGGCGGCGTGTGCTGGGAGGAGGAGGGGGGGGCCGGGGGGGACACAGCCTTCCTGCCAGGCAGCACGGGGAGCGGGGGCAAGCACGTGCGCTGGGGAGGGGCTGGGAACGCGGGGAGGTGAATGAGATGCAAACGGCGGGGAGCGCACGGAGCATTCAGGACATCAGAGCGGATGCTTCTGGGATGTGAGAAGCTGGGGGAGAGGGGCACACTCCCAGCACGAGGAGCCGGGGGAATGTGGGATGCCGAAAGCGCAGTGAGAGGGAGGGGGCGTGGGACATTGTGAATTTACGTGGCTTGGGTCCAGAGCAATGGCAGCTGTTCACACAGGGTAACATGGTGCAACACATACAAGGACTTTGTGGTGGCCAGTTCCACAACAGCAGACACGGGTGTACTGAGCAATGGTGGCTGGAAAGCACATTTAGATGGGGAGGAGGAGAGAGGCCTGAGGCCAGCACATTTACAGGGGCACCAGCGGGAGAGGAGCACATTTACATGGGGAACAGAGGCTACCTAGGCTAGACATGGGGACTAGGAGTATGTGTGCGCTAACAGCAAGGGGAAACTCACGGGCTGCGCTAACAGCGAGGCTGTGTGGGCAGGACTGTGTGCACGGGTGTGTGCATGGTGTGAGAGCGTGTAGAGAGGCAAGCTGCAATTCAACCAGCAGCTATAATAGCTGCAAACGTACCCTGCACCACCTGGGGCCCACGGCTTTGCTGACTCCCTATCGCTTCCCCCCCCTCCGCGCCCCACGGCAGCTCCCAGGCGCACTGCTCGAGTCACGCAGATGTGGGGTTTGGGTGCTGGAGCGAGCGGGGCCCAGTGCCACGTGCTGGGCTCTGCACAGCACGACCTGGCACAGCACAGCTGGCACCAAACAGGAGTGCCGGTGGCCAGGGGCCTCGTGCCGCGCTCGGGGGACACGGCCCCGTGGCGAGGACCAGCAGAGGTCACTGGTGCTGTGCGCGCACAAAGCGCAGCTCTCCCCAGTAAAGATGAGGGAGCTCTGCTCATGCACACGCACGGACCACGCACACACGAGCGTGCTCCGTGCACACTCCTATCGTGTGCAAGGAATGGCTTGCTCTCAGGCGCTCCCCCATGCACACACACCCCCACCAGAAGCAGCTCTCTGCTCCACAGTCCCTACACACGCAGGCGGCTCCCTCCCTACTGCCCACGCACACTCCTGCGGGGAGGCCCCGCCACGCTCCCCTCTGCATCCCCTGTCCCTCCCTGGCCAGCGCAGCAAGCTTCACCTAGACACTAGTGCACAAAAGCCTGTGGGGCGAGACTGCTGCGGGCCCGCTCCTTCCCCACCCCTTGCCTGACCCTCAGGAAGCTCATCCCAAAGCTCCTCCGACCCCAGCGTCACGTACCGTGAATATGTTGGAGCGCCGCTTCGACTGCTTGCGGATGGGGGTGGGTGTGTTGGAGGCAGCAATGGTCTCAATCCGCAGCTCCCGCTGGCTGATGCTAGGTGTGGAGGGCACAGAGGAGGAGTAGTCGCTGAAGGCTCCTCCACCATTGGTGGCCTAGGGCAGAACGAGACGGGACAGTCAGACAGAGACAGGCAGCTGCCCGGGAGCACGACTGTGGAAACACCTTCTGCCTGCACAGCCTCGAACACCCCACGCCACGCACTGCTCCTGCCCAACGGGGGATCTGGGGGAAGCTGCTTCCCTTCCTCCTGCTCTGGTTTTTCCACCGGTAAATAGTTAAAATTCTGAAACCAACACCGAAGAGCAGCAAATGGACAGAGAGCTGACTGCTGGCTGGTGGCTGGCAGCCAGGGAAACCCTTCCAGATACAGGTCTGGCGCAAAGGCACGGAGGCAGCCACGAACCACACAGCCCTGAATAGCAGCGGCTGGCTCTTCTCCGAGGGGCATGGCTGGGGACACTTCAGCGTGCTCCCTCTCCAAAACACAAGACCAGGGCAAGTATCCCTCAGCCAGTCTGCTGGGGAGAACCCTGCTCTCTATAGAGGCCATTGGACTTGAAGCTGCCAGGCATCCCAGAGACTGCCCGGCTCCAAGTCCCGCTTGGTCCACTCCTTGTCTCACAATGACAGCTACGATACCGATGGGGATGTGTGTCCCTGTGACTCGGGCATTCGCCCTTCCAGTGTCCTGAAGCATGGGATGACACAAACCAAGCTCACGCTCTATGTCAGATGCATCTCTGCTGCTGGTTTTGAGGTTCATCCAGGGTGGCACACACCTCTTGTGCCTGTGGACCACCGTGGCCTTGGCTGCAGTGGCCCATGTCTGGGAACATGTGGGACAACACGCTGTATCTTCACTAACAACTCGCTCGACTTCAGGGAGAGGGGAAGATCTAACTGTGCAGCTTGTAGACCACCCCAGCAACGCATTTCTGTCAGACAAGTAGCTCCTCACTCCCATTCTGCTCACGCAAGCTCTGCAGGCAGCGACCTGGAAATGAGCTTACAAGAGGTCCCAAGGAGCAACACCTGCACAAAAGCATTTCAGATCTGCAGCCCAGGACGTCTTACTATGACAAGGCATGTGGCAGTCTGAGCTATCTTTGGCAGTTTTGCTGATCCTTGAAGAGTATTTCAAAAATACATTGAAGAAGCTGCCCCTAGAAGGCTAGGAGAGCTCCAGCACCCCTTGCAGGGAGCAGCTCTCCTCCTCTCAGTTCACATGCTCACAGCGCAGTGACATTGGCGGCCCGGGACTCCCTCCACTCCCACCTACTGCTTAGAGCAGAAAGTGCAGGCACATGCAGGATGAGGCTCTGCGAGGAGCTCAGCAAGAAAACACCCGCGTGCACACGCCGTGCCCAGCGGGATCTGAGCCTTATTCCGAGACAAGCAGGTAAGAAACAGCGGGAGCATGAAAGAGGCTGCGTAGGCAGAGCAGCGACCACAACCCACAGCCAGGTCTCCTCGAAAGGGTGCAACTTTCACTGAAGCTATGGATCGTCTCGTCTTTGATGAGCAAAATGGAAGAAGGCACACAAAAGAGACCTTCTCTTAAGAGAGGAAAGAGCCATCCAAGAATCAGCCCAACTTTTTCTTCTGTAGGCAGAGCAAGGGACTTCTGACTGAGGGCAGCTAGGTGTGCCACAGGGAAATCCTGCTCTGGAAGGACTCCGAGATGGACTTCCCTCAGAGCCACGTTCAGGGAGCTGACAGCTGCTTCTGGGGAGTTTCAGTGCTCCTGCTTGCCAGGGCCACCCCAGGCCCCCGAGCCGCGCCGCAACAGCCTGCCTGCAGCACGGTGCTGCCTGAAGCCAGAGCAAAACACCCTTCTGCAGCAGGGAGGTGACGCCCATGGGGAGGCACGATGCCCTGACAAAAGGTCCTTGAAGGCCCAAGTCTCCAGGTGGGTCTGGAAGACCCTAGCAGCAGGCTGGAGGCAGGGCAGCACCACGGGACAGACGCTCTGCAGCCTGCCCAGCGGCGAAAGGGAGCCTCGTACCGAAGGGGACTCACCGGGCTGAGCTCCCCCCGGGCGCCAGCCTGGCAGCGCGCGCGGCTCAAACCCGGAGCTGGGGGCCAGTGGCTGCTCTGCGGCTTTCAGGAAAGCCTTGCTGTGAGCTGGCGGCCTCCCTGCCAGTACGGGCCTCAGGCTGCCCCAAGCCTGTCCGGAGACAGGAAAGCTTCTGGTGCCCTGAAACACAGAACGAGTGGGAACCTAGTCCGCTTGCACTTCTCCGCCTGTAAAAGAGACCGGGCACCCCATCCGGAGGAGTGAACATCGCCAGGAGATTCTCCGCAAGCTCTCCAGCTGATGAACCCTGTGCTGAGCGAGGGAGCTCCGCTGCCACGTTCCAGGGAAGGGGACACCACTGGGGACACAAAGCAAAGCAGTGTGCCAGCCTGCCGCTTGACTTCTGAACCTTTAACCTGCTGCAACCCGTGGATTCAGGTCTGCATGAAGAAGTGTTCTGCAAATGCTGTGATGACGGAACAGAAGCAGAAATCTAGGGCTACCAAGTCAAAGAGAATTTGCTGAGACAGCTCAAGTTTAGGATCAGGCATAACAATGCATGCACAAACAGTATTTAATTGGTGCATAATATGCGAATCATGTCAAAAAAAGAAAAAGATTCCAAGTGGGAGGGAAGAGATGGCCAATGCTGCAACACAGAGAACCTGTTACCTAGGAAGGTGAGCCAGGCAAGGCTGCCAGGAGTCCAGAAACCACTCTGGAGTAGCCTCCTGCCTAAGCTCTGCATAGTTCAGTAGCCTTGTCAGCACATTTATGAAGCTATGACTGTGGGAAGGATCCAGTTCAGAAGAGGCTGTAGAGTTTGACCTCCTGCCACAGTAGCTGGGACAAACCCTATGGATGTTAGGTGATGGACACTAAAGCTCCTAGGAAGAAATCTTGCCAAGCTGTAGTTTGTATTCTACATACTCACTGTAACCTTGTCTGTAACTTTTGCCTAGCCAGAATAATTTTCCCTAGCCCGTAAGTTTCCCTAGTGTTGGAGACAAGGCAAGGTTAGGGTCCTTCTTGAGCAACAAAGGACAGAAGCATTTGAACCTGTTGGTGTTCCAGACACCCAAACCTCAAGAAAGGTACCGGGGCTGAAGGGTGTCTCACACCTACTTACAAAGGTAACTGTGAGGGCTGGTACCATCCTGTGAGTTTGGGGGCAGAGGAGAAATTCCCCCAAAGGCAGACAGCAGTGCTCCCTCCAGCTACACGGGCAACCCTGAGCCACCGTGCTGCTCAGCTGAGGCAGACTGCTCCCAGACTTCAGCAGGGATCCAGAAAAAATCACGGGGATGGGGGAGAACCCTGACAAGGTGACAAGTCTGGGCAAATGCCTCATTTTCGCTCCTGGCTGATCCACCTCAACAACCACCCGTGGTCGCTATCGAGATCTAAGAACGCAAAGGAAGCTGAAAACACACGCGGGACAAATCCTTCCCATTAGTGCTTAACGAGTGAATAACATGAACTTCAAGGAATACTGATAGTGCCACAGGGTGCCTGAGCAGGGAGGAACTCAGCTGAAGTTAAGATGTAGTAACTCCTAGCATAAGAAGGCATGAGGCGGAACAGGGAGTGAAATTTGGGAAGAGCTCTGAACGGAAGAGTACAAACGAACAGCAGCCACCGACTCAGCACCTGCGCCGGAACAGGGAAGAAGCCAGAGGAGCATACGGACCATGAGACGGTGGGCATCGCGAGCCGAGCGGGCCACGGGCTCCCACGAGGAAATGCGAACGCCCGATGCTCCAGCCGCCGAGACACACGCGCTGCCTGCGCTCTGCTGAAACGTGCTGCGACAGGCAGGGAAGCGCTCGGCATCGGGCACAGCTGAGCTGCAGCTCGTGTTTCATTTCACTTGCAAACTTTTAATTTTCCACCCCTTTCATCTACTCTCCTACTAAATGCACTTCCTGGTGTGACCGAAGAGCCCGCGCAGGACTGCAGACCAGGGCCGTGGCCACCAGGGCTGCCCTGCGCCGGGAGGGCAGGCGAGCAGGGCCGGGCACACCCGGGCACCCCGGCAGCGTGTCGGGGCTGGCACCGGCTCCCAGGGCCCCGGGGACTAGGCAGTTCACTCCACCAGCCTGCCGGGCTCCGTGCGGGGTGCCTGCGTTACCTCCTGCCAGCTGCTGGGAACGAGTTCCCTGGCAGAAAGACAGAGCTTCCATCCCACAGCAAACAGGCCACGGTGACTCATCCCACAGCCTGGGGTACTCCTAAAGGCATCTCAGAGTGCCTGAAGAAAAATGGAGAAAGGGGTAGCAACAGTAAGGAAATCAGGTGGAATAACTGCAAGCACCCACTGGCCCAAGAAACTCCCACGCACACCCTGCAGGCAAGGGACAGGCAGCTGCCGGGAGGGAGCAGGGTGGAAGTCAAGGCCAAGCCAAGGAACGGGGCTCCCAAACCCATCTAACTTGCTCGCCCGGTGACGGGCACGGGCAGGACACGGGCCGGGACGGGAGAGCCTGAACCAACAGGCAAGCAAGAGCTTTCCTTGGGGGCCGCAGGGTCCTGGGGGACCCGAGGTGTCTGTTCAAATGGGTGCAGATCCCCATCTCACGAGCCGCTGTGAAGGCCCAAGGGACAGACCTGGCATCCCCCTGGGAGCGTGCAGGACTCCCGGGGCTGGCCCTGGCTCCTGCCACGCCAGAGGACCAGGGAGATGCTGAACACATTACCCAGGGTCACAGACCTGATGAGCACATCTGGTGCACCCGTGAGTGCTGGTGGAAAACCCTGACCGCAGCTGACCTGCTACTACAGCTCCGCTCCTCTCCACCTTGATGGAAGCAGTGTCCTCTGAGGTGCCAGGCACCACTGCGGAATAAAAGCAAAAAACCCCAAAACTGCCAAAGACAGAAATGAAACCCAGGCCTTCGGCTGCTTCAAGAACTGTTTCATAAAGAGGATCATCCACTGTGTAAGGACACCAAAGCACCTCACACAGCACCACTGTCCCAGAGCCTTGCCAATTCATGAACTGGGCACAATCATGGAAGTTTGGCAACCAGCCACCGCCTCACACCAGGAGAATAAAGTCCTCCGGACAGACCGGTGACAAAATCACAGGGTCTTCTGGGGTCCCTCCTCTCCCAGTAATTGCAATGGACTGGCTAGACTGTGAGGAGACTGGATGAGCAGTGGCCATTTCCAAAAAAGTTAGTTTGGCTCAACTAGTATCATCACGTTACTTCCAGAAAAGATGTCCCCAGGACTAGGATGAGAGGCAGGGCTGGCTCCCAGCTCCTGCCAACCATAAGCAACCCTTTGTGGGGACCACTTGTTCCTGTTTCCAGAAGACAAGCGCCTTCTTCCCCGACAGGTCCAGAAGACAGAGCTGTTCCTGCCCCCACGGGTCAGGAGAGCAGGCACCGAGCTGAACATCCTTCTCATCTCAGACGGCACCACCATCTCGGGGCACAAAGCTATGACGGGAAGCAGACCTCAGCCCTAGCCACTGGCAGAAGGGAAGAGGGACGACTCGGGGAGAAGGGACTGCTGGTGCTAACAGCCCTCAGAAAGGCAGCCTGCTAAGGGGAACAAAATGCTGCCTGAGATGCGGTAACTGCCTGGAAGGGACAGGGCATTGCTGCCATCACACACGGCCAGCAGCTGCAGGCAGCACCTCTCGACACCCAAAACCAAGCCCTGCAAGGACAGAGCAGTGTACGGGCTCCCAGGGGCTCCTCCTGACCACCCACTCAAGATACAGATTCCAGTCCCGCTGCTCCTACAAGCAGTACTGAGAAGAAAGAGAGATCCTTCTGTCCCAGAGTGTGTGTCTCGCCTGCGTACACCAATGCCCAGCTGCGGTACAAGGCAAACAAAAGCTCCTTAATGTATTCTTTGTCTGGCTTCTCTCCACCTCATCTTCACGTTAAATCCTGTGTTCCTGAACCCTTCCTTGAGATCCTTTTCCCTGGGCCAGTTCCTGCTCTCTTACCTGCAAAACCTTGGTGAGAGCCCCATACCCCCAGGTAGAGAAAGGCAGAACACGGCACTACTCTGCAGAGACCTTGTCACTCTCTTGTTTGTCCTTCCTGACAGCGCACGGTCCGTCCGTCCCCTCCCAAAGCTGCCCCGCTGGGTACCTCAGTGCCAGGAGCAGAGGACACCTCCCAGGAGTGAGGCCACCATCACCCAGCCCCAGGAGAGGCTCCGGCACTTCTGCAGCCCAGGCCTGGAGAGCAGCACCCAGCAGGACCCCGGAGCTGTCTGCCCCAGCTCTGTCCTGTGCTAGAGAAGCTGCTCGTGCTGCAGACCGTGCCCTCTGGTGCGGCACCGCCAGTCCAGCGCGCTCCTGAGCAGCGATTCGGGGCTCTGGCACGTCCCTGCTGCAACAGCCGCCTGGTCACTGCGCTCTCCCTTGCACGAGTGTCCTCCCGCACGGCAGCAAGCCCATACACACCAGTGCGTGGGCTGCTCTGGCCAGGTCCGTGTTAGAAACACCAGCTATCAGGGAACTTGTGTTTCTCAAAGCCAGTTGGATTTTCTCTGAGGACAGCAGGGAGCAGTTCCAGAACTTCATTCCTGAGCCCAAGCGAGAACAGGGAAATACTTCACAGCATTTTATGATCGCTCACCAGTTCCATTACTTCACACTCTATTTTTAGGAAAAGTGCTTTTTGTAATAGAAGAGAGATGTGTAAACACCACAGAAAAGATTACTGCAGCAGGCCACTTTTGGGAACCAAAAGGATTTGTGGTTGAGCCACGGAAGACCCAGGGAACAGAAATTTAACTTTGACCCTCGCTGTGACCTCCAGGTTTGCTGAGCACAGGAGGGACACAGCATCAGGCAGGCACAGAGCATGTACGGGGGAGGGAGGAAGCTCCAGAAGGACATGGCCTATCATTACCGCTGACACTGCTACAACTCGGGCAATCAATAAGTATTTCTTGCTTAGAAAGGCCTCACAGTTAGCTGCAATTTCCTGTTAGCTGCATGCTGCATTACTTCCCTTTAACAGCTCGGGTTTCCCACCAGAACTACCTAGGTCCCTCCAGCAAAGCCCCAGGAGCACAGCAAGGTACTGAGAGTAAAGGTCCTGCCTCAGAGCCGCGGAGCCAGCATTCACCTCTACACAGCCATCGTCTGCAACCTGGGCTGAGAGGTACTCTGCAGGAAGGAAAGGAAAATAGGGAGGTTTCTGAGCAAAAACTTCTAACGAAGCTCATGACACACAATTAGAAACCTCTTCTGATGCCCAAACTTCGCTTCTCCATGGCCAGCCTTAAACCCACCCCTTTTGTTCTAGCACTTTCTTTTCTTAAAAGGTTCTTTCCTTTCACAGCTGTGTATTCCAGAGGTCAGGTTTGGTCCATTCCAGCCTTCATTTTCCTCAGCTAAACAAGCAAAGTGCTTAACTTCCTCTTGCGTTAGGGTCTCTTCTCCCTGCCACTTACTTTTTGCTGTTCCTACACCAGTTTCAGTGCGTACTTGCTTACATGAGCAACTGCAGTCAGACCGAGGAGTCCGGTATCCCCGCGCCCCTCACACAGGGAGCACATTTTTAGCTTCACTACAGACATGTTGCCCGGCAGAGCAAGTGCCATTAGTACATATTTGTTAGGACCCTTTTCTCATACTTTCGACATCAGACTGCCTCTCCTTTCCAACCAGTCTCTGACTGTTTATAATTTGTCTGCCAATAAAATCCTTCCATTACCAGATACGCTCAAATCTGCATTTTTCCTGGACTTTGCTCTCCACCTTGGATGCCTCCTATTAAACTTCTCAAAAAGTACCCACACTCAGACATATTGCATGGCACGGTATGGCTGTGTATGTTTTGCAAGCAGCTATGCTCACTCTGCTCGTATCCCAAGCTTGCTGGACACAAGCAAGCTCTGCTCAGAAAGCGACACAGCTTCCTCAGGCAGCTCTGGCTGTCAGCAGGGCTTAGCCTGCTCGCTTGCACACAGAGACTTCAGCTGCCCTTGCTGGTGTCCAGGTGACCTGAAGCAACCAGGAAGCTGGCACAGGTCTCTGCAAAAATCTGTACACACCTACTCGCAGTCCAGTTTTAGAAGCCTATACAGTCAGGTATAAACTTCATGTAGGCATTTAAAAACTCTTTATGTACGGGTCCAACCAGTGGCTGCAGACACTGCTCAGGTTTGCACAGGAACAATCTCCCCTGTAGTGGTGTACCAGAAATGCCCCCAGGGCTTACGAGGCTCGGATACACCCTAAGGTTCAAAGCCAATCCCCCTTACGGAAAAAGGTGTCAAGTCTGGCAGAATTTGTTTTGCTAAAGTTGCTTCACATTTTATTCAGTTCCACATGCTCCTCTGAGTCCTTAGCTACTCTTTTCCTCAAAAACCGTTTCAAGCACTGCTCGCTGCTGAGGCAGCTGAGGGGCTCTCAGCTGCTCTGGTGTAGCTGTATCCCATCTTCCGTAAACCCAGCTGCTACACTTGCTGTTCCTCAGTCTGACAGCACTGTGCCAGACAGACAGATTTCCTGAAGTCCTTGCTTCAGATCCTGCGATTTCATATGCCAGTTGCTTCAGAGCTGGAATCTGTTGGCTTGACTGCCCCTGAGGAGCAACAGGGCCCAGCATCTCACCTTCCTCATCAGAGAGCCAGCTCAGCGTTTATGTGGGTGCGGCAAACGGCAGCAAAGCCCGAATGCAACGAGGCACCTGCCCAAAGGATCTCCTTCACCAGCCACTCACCGCAGCAGCCTGTTTGGTTTCTGACCTGCCCCTCCTGCCTCAGCTCTGCTCCTCCAGAGTCACAAACACCTCTGGCTTCACCAAACTCCCAGCATGGAGACCTTGTCAGTCCCTGCCAAGCTAACGCTGTGCCAAAGAACAGCACAGAGCCCTTCCTCTGGCACAGGGGAGGAGAACCTCCTTCTCTTCTGTGCTACTCCTTCAATTCCCCACTGAATTCGCCCCTCCACAAACACATCCCCTAAGAAGCCCACCTGTACATGCATCGAAGACCACCAGCTTCCCAGCTCCCGGGGGAGCAGGACTGTGGGCAGCTCACCTGGCTGGCCGGGGCAGCCAGACCAAGGGCCCTTTCGCAGACCCTCTGCTCTGCCCAGGAGCTTCCCCGCAGACCGCTCGTGGCTCTGCCGCCAGCGTCTGTAGAAGCAGGCCCCAATTTCTGCCGACCAGGAGCCAGACCCAACGGTTTCGACACAAAGCTTGACCTCAGGGCAAGCATCAAGCTGTTCTGGGCTACGGACAGAAGTGCCAGAGTGACAGCCGCTCTGTTCTTCCCAAGCGCTCCTGCAGGGCTGCAGTGTGAGTCTAAGGCTAGGCTAGACCCGCTGTGTGTCGAGTGAACTGATGGGGTGTGGAGAAGCGTGTGGGGTCCCTGGCTGTCCCTGTTCCCGTTTCCCACCTGGTTGATGTGAACAGAAGGAATGGAGGCCGCAGAGACAGACGAATGGCTGGGTGAGTTGGGCAGGGACTTGCAGGGGCCGATGGAAAGCTGCTGTTTCTTCCGTAGCGCCACCACCTTCTGAGCCACTGGAAGAAGGGAGAGAGGGACATGGTCAAAGTCCAGAAAGCAACTTTCTTCACCCGTGGATTTCTGGAGGGCTTCAGCGAGACCCAAACCCTTTCTCTGACTGATGCCAGCGGCTGGGGCTCAAACTGCCCCTGTGTCAACAGGAAGGATTTCTGCAGAACACCCAACCCCGCCATCCCCACTGCAATCCCACGCCAGGGCTAGCGCTCGCCTGTGGCTCTTCCAGCGGGCAGCGGGGCAGGCTTCCCACGCTGGTCACGCTGGGTCCCCAAAGGCCACCTGCTCTCTTGGGCCTCGCGGAGAGCAGTGACTTCATGTGGACACCAAGGAGCCACCCAGAGCCTTGGGCTGCTGCAGAAGAATCCCCGGGCAGCCAGAGTCACTTCTTGGTCACCCCCTCACAGCAGCTACAGGAGCTACAAACTGAATAGGCTGGGCAATGCCACCTCCATCAGTCTGGGCCCTTGCGACCTTCATGGTCTCCAGGTGTTAGAAAAACGAACGTGAGGAACAACCCCCCCAGTTCCTGCGACTTCACTGCCTGATGCCAACAGCACAAAATTGCATTTCAACCATTCCCAATCTCCTACCTTTTCTGGAAATAAACATCTTGACCACAGAGCATGACAGCAAACAAGCTGAGCTGTTGGGGAATACAGAACACATCGCCATTCCCCGCTTTCTCTTGCACACGGGCCAGGTACACCCACCGTCACAGGAGAAACCTTTCAAATGAGCACGACTGAAGGCATTGGGACCATCACACACCCAACCCGGCATGCCTCTTTAGCGTGAACCGTTGCAACAAAGGAGCTGCCACATTCCCTCTCCAGAAAGATAAACGTTGCACCACACACGCGGTGTGACTGAACCCATTTGGAAAAGTCAGATGGGGACATACACTGCAAAATCCTGCCACCTCACAGCTGCAGTGCCATGTCCCGCACAGACAAAGGCTATTGGGCAACTGCTGCTGCCTGCTCGTCTGATAAAGCTGGGAGCCTGTCCAGACTCCCAAGCTAAATATTAAACCCACGAACAGCAGGAACCCCTCCTACACCCACCAAACTGACCACACTAACCTGCTGTTTCTTCCTGCTCTCCTCCCCTCCACCCTCCCCGCCGGCCAGCTTCATCCACTGCTCGTCGTGTGAACCACCTCTCCTTCAAACACTGGCCAGGCACATTGAGAGCTCAGGCACCCCAGGGGCCAGAAAGGGTTCAGAAAATCTCCTCAGCAATTGCTGTCCTGGGCAAAAGAGCCTGGCAGAGGCTCTGCCTCGTCACTCACCCTGTACCATTATGGGCAAGAACTGGATTAATCATGAGACCAGCAAGACCACAGTGGTGGTGATAAAATCGCACCAACCCTTAACTGAGGCATCTTGAGGTGGCCTTCACATTTCTGCTTGCCAGGCAGAGGTTCTTCCACTTCTTGAACATCAGCCAGGCTTTTTCAAGGATAATTTCTGTCATCCCTTAAAGCCAGTCTCTGGGATCACTTGCTGTCCTGGGTTTGAGTGAGTGGTGGGGTTTTCTGGTAGCAGGGGAGGGGGCTATCACGAGTTCTTTGGTTGCTACATGCGGCTCTATGATACACAACCAAGGAGCCCTGCCCTGCCCACAGAACCTCTGTCCAGATACATTGCTTGGCATCTGTTTGCCAAATGCCACGTGGGGTGGCACCCTATGGAGTGGCACACCTTGCACACCGCCCCGTGCCTAAACTCTTGGCCTCTCCGCTGAAATGCTCCTGCCAAACCCTTCCTCAGAAGTATCACTCACTGTCCTGGAAGACATGGCAATGCTGTTGATCACCCCGACAGCCAGGAACAAACAAACTCACTCCTCCTGAGCAGGAGGAGGGACACCCGCTGCTCAGCTGTTGCACTCAGGATGCAGAAACCCAAGCCACCCCCCAGGCAGCAGAGCCAGAACCAGCCTCGGGCTGTCAAGTTGAAGTCCAAGTTCGCAGCCCTGCGGCTGAGGGGGCATGATGGAGAGCAGCAATGCCTCCAGCATGCCTGCAGCAGGTTCTGGTGGGCCACGGGAGAAGGCTGCCTCGCACCACTGGCTGGCCCCTGCGACAGCGCGGGCCAGGGGGAGGAGAGGAGAGGAGAGAGGAGCCCTCGCCCGGGTCTTGCTGCAGAGCTGAAGCCACCCCCAGCACAGGCAGCACGGCTGCTGTCCCTCCTGTCCCCTTCCAGGATCGGGCCTGGGTCACTTTTCCTTTTCAGGAACAAACGCCACGATAATCACTGCCAAGGGGCTCTCGACAATTTGCTCTCTAACCTCTGCCTGGTATAGAAATATTCTGGAAAAGGCATCCCCACACTGATGGCTCCTTGTAATTGTCCTGCCATCCTCTAAACTCTAGATTTCTGCATACAGGAGCCCTGTGAGGGAAATTTTGAGAAGAAAGCCCTTTAACTGTACCTCTCCAAAGCCAAGAAGTCAGAAAGCAAGGTCAGTACTAGCCTCCCACCTCGCCGGGAGCTCTGCCGGGAGTGGGGGGAGCACACAAACCCCCCGCTCAGGGTGGGCTCCACCCTTGGAGAGGTTCTGAATCTGCAGCTGGTGTCTGCCGGGCACTGGACACTGCAGCACACAGCCCAGCCTGTGTCACTCTTCCTGCTTGTGCCAGAGTCATCTCCTCACACTGTGTGAAACCACAGACAGACTGTCCCATCTTTTCACGGAAGCAGTTGCTGTGACAGCATCTGGTGCTGGAAGCAACTTGGAAAGGATGAGAGGAGCACTGCTCCCACACAGCAAACAGTGTTTCCAGGGGGACTTTTGCCAAGCCCCACATGAGGAACCAGCAAAGAGGAAGTCACTCCTTTTTGGCATGCCATGCATCCCCTTCGCAGTGACCTTCAGAAGCCTGGCAGCCCGGAAAAAGCCTTCACCACTCCAAAAGATTCAACACAATTACGGTTAGACCCTGTAATGCATGTGGTCTGGACCCCTGCAGAACACAACCACAAACTTAACTTCAGAACAAATACCCAGGAACTGCTCTAGGCATGGGAGGAAGGGGCTCTGCTGCACCTGCCTCAGCAGGAAGGAGGGCACCTCTACAGCTGGAGCCACCCAGTTCTTGGAGAACCTCTGAACAGTTGGTGGACATGAAGATCTGAGGTTCTCCTTCTCGCAGCTTCCCCCACGCACAACAGCACCACGTGCAGACCGTGGGGCATTTGCAGAGACAGCAGCTTGGTTAGGAAGAGTACTAGCCTCAGCCTTCAACTGAATACCAAGAGGTGGGATGGTCACTCCCTCAAGCTGTCACGCTAGACCAGCACGACATTAACCTGCTGTCCAAAAAGGTCAGTGATTGCTTGTTGTTAGACAAGACAGCGGCACAGAAGGGCTCTGTGGGAACAGAGGTGCAGCATATGCTCTGCACAGCACGGACAAGCAAGCAAACCTTTGCAATAAGAGCAAGGACCACAGCTTAGCAAAGTCTTCTTGTTGCTGCTATGGAAAACTGACATCTTCCCCTGCCTGGTCCGGGTCGAGCAACTCGTCTCGCAGAAACCACGCAAAGATCAGGTCTGGCTGGCTGGCAACCGAATCTCCACGCGGGACAAGCGCCTCACACAGTCCACGACTGCCAGCACTCCACCTGGTCCCAAAACAGATGCACAAGGACCCACCGGTGCTCCCTGGGCAAAGCCGCTTACCCACTCTGAAAACACCTCACCTTGCCAGGTGAGCATCACCAGAAACTGGGCCCTGGCAGTCCCTGTTCTGAGGTGCCAGTGACATCTGGGGCCGAGGTGCTGGCTGCGCTGGGCTCAGCTCCACACCAGCACCTCCTGCCCGGCTCCCTCCCTCCTACGGCTGCGCTCAGGAGCGTCTGGGCAGGGGAGAGCGCTGCCCACCGGGGATTTACTCCAGATCCCCTATGAGATGGTGCGTCCCTCTGCTCCATTTGCAACCCCCGATTATCACACCGCTTTCCCCAGAGCCCCGAGCAGCCCACTCGGCAAGGGCACAGACACCGGCGAAACCGCGCTGGCAGGCAGGCGGCACGGCCCGCAGGCAGCCCGCTGCAGGAACCGCAGCAGCACAGGCAGCTCCCGCCTGCCCAGCCTCAGAGGCCCGGGGGATCTCTCCCTTCTCCGGGCTGACCTTTGTATCCTGCCGGCCATTAAACTTCACGTAGCCCACGCGGCACCAGCCACCCGCGCACACAGCGAGCCTCTCCCACAGAGGGATGTCGTATGGATTCAGAGAAAGTACAAGAGATGCAGAATACAGCACTTCCCGCTGCATTTTTTCCAACAGCTAATGGAAAGAGGGGCTATTAATAACAAGAAGTAACGATTCTTTAAAATTTTAATCAGACTGACTTTGGCTTCTAGCATTAACTCTCTGCTAGCCTGCAAAGTCTCAGTATCTGTGATTTTCTCCCCATGTAGGCAGGTACGTAGATACTCTTATACTGTAGTCAGGTGACCTCTCAATCATCTTTTTGACTTATTGAATGGATAATCTCTTTCAGTGTCTCACTATCAGGTATTTTTTCCAGCTTTTGATCGAGTTTTGTAGTTTTGGGTTTTTTTTTTTTCAAATTTTCTCAGCTTCTCTGTCTCCTTTAGAAGTGCTGACACTCACGTTCGACAACACTCCAGCAACGGTCCTCCTGCTGCCCTCTGCGGAGGCAAGAATCTGTCCAGACTTCCACTCAGTGCTCCCCTGCCTACTCAGCCCTCGCTCCATACAGCATCAGCATCTGCCCAGACTGACATCGGGTTTGTTTGAATAGCCTCCGACTACCACACTCCTTGGGGTCTTCAGGATTTCCTCAGCCTCTCTGCTCCTCATGTGGACAAACCTGCTCCCTTGCCTCCTTCCCAGCCACCAGTACCGTGAGCAAGTCCTGACAAAAGATGAAGCACAGCACTTTGCAGCCGCTCACTCCTGAGCCTTCAAGCCGCAGCTCAAGATCTCCCACATCGCACTGCTTAAAGTTGTGTTCTCTACGCTCCCAGGGTCAACACAGAATAAAAATAACCCCAGCGCACAGTTCATTCTACCTTGAGATAAAAAAGCACAAGAAGCAGCCTAACAAACAGCAGCACCTAATCCTGCAGTGCCTTCCCCAGCCCCTTCCCAAACCCATCGGCTGCTATTCCTCACTGTACTGCCCTTCCGAGAAGGGACACAACAGAATCCATTTGAAGGAATAAGCTGAACACCCAGTGCCAAATGCTTTCCAGGAGCCAGGATCAGCTGTGCACACAGCCCACCAGCTGTTGCTCTCCCCAGACTTGCTCTGCAAACCACTGAGCTGGTTCAGCTGATCCTCCCCTTCCAGGTCTGCTGCAGTATTCACTATCCTCAACTATTCCCAGCTGTTCCTTCCCACCGTCACTCATGAGGAGGAGGCAGAAGGGGAGACTTACAAGCAGCCTGCCCAGCAGAGTTGCTCCAGCTTCCCTGGGAGTATCAAACCAGTACAGAGGCTGCTGGATGCTGAGGGATTCCCTGCCAGGGCCCAGGTGGGACACTCTGAAAGGTCGCTCTCCAGGATGGCTTCTCAGACCATCTCAGAGGCGGAGCGGCAGCAGGGGAGGGGAACATCCTACATGCTGCTGCATCAGAAAAGCAGCACTGTGACTATGATCCTCAGACCTGCAACAGGAGATGACTGGAAGGTCACAGACTTTTGCAGAGGAAGGAGGATCATCAGCTCCAGCTCAGAGGATGAAGGAGGCGCCTGAAGCCAATGACAAGCTCAGTCCTGTGTCTTGCCCTCAGCCTATCTTGCTGTGCTGCAATGAACCAAGCTCGATTTTTACCTTCAGGCAGTCCTGCTGCACTATGATTTCCAAATTTTCTCCCGTGCACCTGTTCCACCTGCAAACACCAACAGCACAGCTATCCTTCTCTCCAAAAGAAAGTGTCCTGCCTGCCCGGCCGCTCGCCGCCGCACAGACCCTTTCCCACGCACTGAACACAGATCCCCTGCTGCACTCCAGAAGACGACAGAAAGGGGACAGGGGAATATGCAGTCCCTTTACAGGAGAGGGTCCCAGTTTATTTAAGCAAACTGCAAACTCCTAGGACGTGGTGTAGGTTCCCTCTCCCTGCCACGCAGACCCCTCTCCAAGTCTAAGCAGAAATGCTCTCCCACACGCTGCTCCCACGAGGAACAGCTGCCCCATCTGGCTGTTCAGCTGCTGCTCCCCTACCTCTATCACCCAAAGGTTCTGCCGTACTTCTCCCTCTCCTCCACGACAGGTAAGCAAAACGCTCTCTGCAGCACCACAAGTCCTCTGTAGGCTCATGCAGCTGCTGTGCTGTACAGGCCCCCCACAGGGATGCAGCCGTCCCCTGCAGCCTCTCTGTGCTCAGGAACACGCGGCTACCCAGCAGGCAGCCCCCGCAAGGAAGGCAGGAGGAAGGTGCTGCCCAGCCCTGCTCCACAGTCCCCCTCACACATCCACCTGCAGTCCACCTACGCGTCACCCGCAGGAATCCTTCCACGCCAGACCAGCTCTGCGTGTGTGAAGCCACGGCACACAAACGAGCGCCCAACTCCCGTGGCCTCACGGCATCACGCCGTTCTAACTGAGAGCCAGCAGCCCAGGCAGTGTGAGCCCCCTCTGCGGCACGGGGCTGGGGCCCTGGCTTGCCCGCACGCCCCCCACCAGCTGCAGTTACCATCCTGGAAGACTCTCTCCACGTTCAGTCCGTAGGTGGCACAGGTCTCGTAGTACGTGCAGCGCTTCAAATCATTGGAAAGCTTCCGTGCCCGAGAATCGTCAATGACCCGGGGGTTTGTGGCGCTGATGGCATCTGGAAACCAAAAGGAGAGACGGTTAGAACACAAGCACCCGTGTCCCACGTAGCCACAGGTCCCAGAGCACACTCCCGGCCTCCCTCCCTCCCTCCTTCCCTTCGTGTACCGAGATACCCGCCTTCATAGTACACCCCCTATCCTATAAACGCCTTAGATAACCCAGCCCCACATTTGTAGAAAAATGGATTTGTTAATTGAACCTTATTCAACTCTCCTAACCATACAGCCACAGATGTTTCTGAAGACAGAGGGCAGAAACCAGTGGGAGGTGTGGCTGGCAGGGCAAGGCAGCCTCAGTTGCAAAGTAAAATGGATTTGCCAGTCTCAGTTGGTTTAGGTCTCACAGCCATACCCTACATATTAAAGAATCAAAAGGAAGAAATCATCCTCAGTTAATTGGGAGAGGCAGCTCTGCTACAGTGTACTCACCGTTGAGGCCTTGGTGGACAACACTAAAAAAGAGGCTTAATTTGCATCCCAGATGGCTGCCTTCCCACAAGGAATCAGATTCCTCGAAAACATGCCAGAGACAAGCAGGGGCTGTAAATGAACCTCCTCAAGAGTCAGAGCAGTACTGGACCCACACTGTAAAGAAGTCCCCCTCCAACTCTCCAGCGGGCTGTGTGAGAGCACCAAGGCTGGGACCTCACCTGGCTCGGGGATAACAACGACCACCAACTGCTCTGCCACTCTCCCCGGCTCCTGAGCCCCCCCAGCACATGCCTGCAACCCCAGCCCGGTCCTGAACCAAGATCGCTCAGCCCCAACATTAATTCCACAATCTTTAAATATCCAAAGTTTAACAACTTTGTTCTACTCTTAATCTGGGGTCCAGAGCAGACACCCCTGCGACTCCGCTCCCACTGCCACTGCCTGCCTTCCCAGCCTCCGAGTTTTTCCTTGGCCAGGAACGGGTTTACTGCTCAGAAACTGGGTCCTGGCAAGACATTTTTTCCTCGCTTCCTTTATCCCCTGCTCCTGCTCTCTGCTGTCACCCTTACAGCCAGACAACTTCTGCAGCCCCTGGCTCCCTCCTGCCTGTGCTTTTCCATCTACAGGCAGGAAGGACACTCGTTTCGGAAGAGCAGAGCTTGGACACCTGAAACACTGCCCTCCTTGCTGCTCCTCCCTGGGCACCCACGGCAAGGCTTTCAAAGGCCAGGCTGCCTCCGGCACATGCTGGGCCAGGCAGGAATCCTGCCCAAGGGCTGCCCCGTCTCCTGGCAGTCCTTCTCCACCAGCAGCAACTCACCCAGGCACACCTGGGGTGCCCAGCCAGGGCTCTGGGCACCGCGTCTCCCGTCTGCTCTGCTGCCCGCACCCACCGGCAGCCTCAGCTGTGGTTTCCTGACAGTTCCCTTACAGTCCCCAGCAGGGCTGGGCACTGGGACGGGGAGAGGAGGGGGATGGCAGTTCTGGGTTGCTGCTGCTCTTCCCCATGTGCGCTGGCAGCACCTCAGGGCAGATGGTGCTCGACAGCTCAGGCCTCTTCTTGGGGTGCTGAAAGCAAGTTGCCATCCCCCCAAAACCTTGCCTGCTGCAGCTCGCCCCCAGAGGACGAAGGGCAATGGACCAGCAGAAAACCCTCCCACCCCCAGGCCCTGACTCCTGCCTGCACCCGAACCGAGGAAGGCAACTCCAGCAGGTTTGGGCATTTCGAAGAGGAAAGCAGCTCTGTGAAGTAAGGCAGCTCTCTGCAGGAAAGCTGCGATGGCCTGAGAAGGCATTACTCAGCTGCTCCAGAGCCCCAGGCTAGGAGCCTCAGCGTCACTCAGTCCCACGTACAGACTGGGATTCCCCAGCACGCTCGCAGGGCTGGCACCCCGCGCTCTCTTGCCCGTGTGGACACGTCACCAGTGCTCCTAAGCGGGGCAGGGAGGACGTGGGGAGGAAGCCCGGGCACCCCGCTCTCACCCTGCGTGCCCACCAGCACCATCGGCACCTCCGCTGTGTTCCGGTAGCTGCAGAGCCGCAGGTAGTAGTTGTAGACCGTCTGGAAGCTGATCTCATCCTCCAGGCTGAAGACAAACACCACAGCATCGACCCAGGCAGCAAACTGAGGGAGACACATCAGCCGTTACAGCCCAGACAAGCGTCCCGGAGCCCCGTGCCCAGAGCTGCCAGCAAGGGCAGCCCCACAGCAGGGCTCAGCCGAGCGCACGCCCCCGGCCCCGCGGCACAAGCCCCCCGGCACCGTGGGGAGGCTCTGGGGTCCACAGTCACCACAGGGGTAGCCCCTCCTCAGGCGTCGCAGTCCTCATGTTCTCCCACGACTGGGCTCCCAAGGGGCGGCCGGGTAGGGTCCCTCCCCAGGAGCCCTCCAACCCCTCTGGCAGGACGGGGTGGGAAGGGATCGCAGGAGGTACGGGTCTCCTACCTGGAGTTCGGGGGGGCCCCCTTCATCTCGAATCAGCAGCAAGTAACTCTGACCGTCCACTACAATCTCCTTCTTAAATCGGCCACCTTGGGAAGAGAGCAAAGCAGCAGGTCAAGCGAGCGGGGGGAGCAAGCAGAGGGAACCCCGAATGAAGGTCAGGGGAGGCTGCAGGGCCCTGCGGCAGCGGCAGACAGGGTGCAGAGACGGGGGTCACCTTCAGGGCCGGGGAGAGCAGCGAGGACCCAGACCACCCCCCAGGCGCCCTGGGAACCAGACTTTACCCTCCGGAGACTCCTCCTGCACGTAGGTGCCGGTCAGGTAGCGGTGCACAAGGGCTGACTTGCCGCTGGACAGGTTCCCCACGATGCCCTGAAACAGAGGCACACATCAGCTGCGTGCCCAGCACATCTCCCTCAACACCAGGCCACCCCTGCGAGGCGAGACCACCAGGAACCGGGCACATGCCGATGATGGGCAGAGGTGGTCATGAGAGGGCACAGGGGATGGCACAACCCAGCTGGCACGGGGGGAGAAGCCTGGAGGCAGCAACTGGTCTCCCTTGGGCAGAGAGCAGCAGGCAGTGGGGCGCAGCCGCCCAGAGGGTCTGCTGCTGCGGCAGTGCCTGTCTCCCGGCAGAGCTGGCTGCACTGCCCACACGGAGAGACACCCAGCACCAATTCTTAACCGAGCTGAAAAAATAAAGATACCTAGCACTAATTTTTAACTGGGTTGAAACACACTAGGCCAGGGGTCTGTCAGTCTGGATCGCCCCAAAAATTTCCCACAGAATGAACGTAACCGTCCCAGGGTGAGTCAGCCAGATAACTCAGTTCTTCCCAGTGTTGGCATTTTCCCAAGAGTTTAAAACACCTCCAGGGCCAAGGGGCTCGCAAGCGGCCCTCTGAGAGCAGTCTGGGGGTAAAGGGGCATCTTCTACAATCCTTGCAAAAAATTCTATCAGGCTACACCCCACAGCTATTCCCCACATCCACAGGGACAGTGCAGCTCAGCAAGCAGGCTCTTGCATCACTGAGCATCCCACCTCGCGCTCCTCCAGCCGCAGCCGCAGCATTGCTCTGGTGGAGCCGGCGTAGAAACGCCAGGGCGATGCAGAGGTGCCCCTGGCCCACGGCATCCTCCTCCCGGTGCCCCCGGCCCACGGCATCCTCCTCCTCCTCCCGGTGCCCCCGGCCCACGGCATCCTCCTCCTCCTCCCGGTGCCCCTGGCCCACGGCATCCTCCTCCTCCTCCCGGTGCCCCCGGCCTCTGGAGCGGCACTCACCCGGGAGCCAGAAGCACTGCTCCTAACTCACTGCTCACAGGCCTGCACGCCTCCGAACCCCGGCTGGCTCCTACCAGCCGGCCACCGTGCAGAGCCCCCAGAGCCGTGGTGGCCCAGCCGGGGCCGCAGCTCACCGCACCCGGGCAAAGCGAGCTCCCGCTCCTTTTCCGCAAGGCTTCCCAGAAAGCATCTAACCTACCTTTGGCTTTGGATAGTCTGACCACAGAGCTTCTGGCAGGTAACCGACTCCAGCTTCAGGGCACCCTACACCTCCTCCCGGGCCTAAACCACGCTCCCAGTGCTCCCACGAAGACATCCTGGGGGGGGGGGGGTCCGGCACACGAGCACCCGCCCATCCTGCCTGCGCGCCGAGCCCGGGCCTTCCTCCACCACCGGAGGTTCGCTCTGCCCCACTGAATACAGACTTCTTGTTGTTGTTGCTGCCCAGCATACCATCCACCCAAATGTTTTTGTTGGCATCCCCCTTCTCTGTCCCCAAGACTAGTTAGCACGGACTGTGGGGCCTTGCTGTTTCACTGGGGTTTAGGATGTCTGCTTCATCTACCAGACAGAAGCCACCAGAGACATCGCCCTGTGCAGACCTTCCAAGGGGCTGCTGCGTTTCTGGAAAATCCAACGTCACATCCCCGGCATGTCCACAGCTGCTTCACTGCAAATGTGCAGTGATACTGAAGCATTTAGCAGCGCACTGCTGACCCTGCACCCTTCCTAAACCCAGCACTGGACCAAGCCATGAGATCCGCTGGGCACGTGTGGACTACCCGCATTTGCTGGAAATACCAGAGTCCCTGTGGAGGTGCTGCACAGACCCAGTGGGTGTATTGCTGCACAGGAAGTCCCAGGCAGAAGTACAGTACACCTTTATGATGAAAATTTCCAGGAGGCACACAGCACCGAGAAGGTAACAATGTTCATGAAAACAGCACATACCCTTACGCATATGAGAGACAAAATCAAAATCCCAAATCCCATCACACGTCTCCAAGCATTGCCTGGGTGTTGGAACCGGGCGCAAGGCACGGTGCTGTCAGAGCTCTCCACTGGCCACAGGAGAACCCTCCTCCCGGGCTCCAGCAAGCCCAGCTCCCGGAAACGTGGACGTGGCACTGCCGGCTGACTCGGGGCAGCTGCGTGAGGGCCGGCTCCTTCCCGAGCGGGTGCAGCGCTCCGTGCCCTCGCCGTGTCCGCAGCCCGGACCCTGCGGGCGCCAGGGCCGAAACCTGCCGGGCGCTCAGCCCAGACCCAGCCCGGCAGCGGACACGCCGCCCCAGGAGACCCAGATCCTGCGTGTTGGGGCTGGGGGCTGCTCTCCCCGCGCCCCCAGGGCTGGCCCCAGGCACCCTCGGTGCAGCCTGCCCGTGCCAGGGGACAGGGACCATAGGCAGGTCTTGCAAACACAACCCGTGGTGACCTGTGGGCAGCGGGCTGAGGCATGGGGCAGACGTACCACGCTGCCAGCCACCGATGCTGCACCCACGCCGGACCCCCTGTGCCCACCCTGCGCCGCCGACACCGCCTGCGTGACCGTGGAGCAAAAGGAATCAAGAGCTGGCGGGCCAGCCCGGCGCTCATTCGCCGTGCTGTTTTCCAAGCTGCAGGCCTGCGGTACAGCTGCACACACAGCCCCACCAGCGCCGACAGAAGTGGGGGCATGAGGAGAGAGGAGTGGCTGGGAACATTAAAGCTGCCTCTGCCACCAAAGAGAAGCTGACGGCAGACTTCTTCCAGGCAAAGGGATGAGCCTAGTGAGTGAGTCACCACCAGGCAGGTTCTCCAGCTTTCAGCCGGGGCTCAAAAGCTCCCGCTGCACGGGGGGGGGGGGGTCCTGCCCTGGGCTACCCGCTGGCTCCCGGTGAGACGCAGCAGCCCCGCAGGCGTTCAGCCGGCAGCAGCCCGGGGGACCAGGGCGCAGGAATCCGTCCGCTCTGCCCACGGCGCACGGAGCCAGCGAGCAGCGGGACCGGGGCACCGGGAGCCCAGGACAACGTGCTCCCACGGGCATGCCCGGGCCCAGCGCGCCGCTGCCCGGTCTGCCACCCGCAGCGGTAATTACAGATCATACACAGCGCGTTTAGACAGATGAGAACATGTACCAGTCTGCAAACCTCACAGGTAACGCACACGTGCTTCTGGAGCCGAGTGATCTGTGGAGATGTACGGGCTACACGAACACCGTGGCCCGTGTTACCGACAAGGGCAAGACCCCTCTCCTCAGCCGAGCCCTCCCTGCTGCTGCCGCACATCGATGGCAGCGCGAGCAGTCGGGGATATAAAGAGGTGGAGACAGAGAAGAAACTGTGGAGACCACTGTGCAGAGTGGGAAGCTCAGCTCTGTGCCCAGGCCGGCCACAGCCCCAGTCCCTGGGGAACCCTGGCAAAACAGAGTGGCTCCCCGGGGCCGCCTGGCAGCTGGGACTCCATGCAACATCACACATGGAACACTCCAACACGACTTAGCTCTCTAAAGCTTGGATGGAGGCTGCATATACACTTTGTTTGCTTATAATGAAAATCCTGACCTATGACTTGCTGAAATACACTTCTGCTCTGTCCCATCCTCATCTGGTGTTATAAACATGCCCAAACAGAACTGACAGTCTTGAGGAACACAACCCCTTAGAGGCAGCAAACCAAAGGAAAACATGGGCAGCAAACTGAAGTAAAACGTGGTGTGTAGGCACTGTGGAAAACTCTATCTTGACACGTTGGGAGAATGAGGGAAGGCAGCCTGCCTCTGTGCTGGGCGGTGAAGGGCTGATACTGCCCAGTATCGGTTCTGGGGGACGAGTCCCTGCCACAGGCATCATCCCATGCCTCTCCCACGGGGAAGGCAAGGTTTGCAGGAGCCGCTGACTTCTCTCAGACACAGGCTCTCAGCCTGCAACAGATGGAGGAAGCTACAGGATAAAATTGAGGTGAGAAAAACTGCTGAGCGTAACTTAAATACATCAAGCTATTAAAAAAACCTTAGAGAAAGTACGCTGACCACTTGTAATGAAAATGGGAACATAAGCAGGGAAGAAAGGAATAAGATCCTGACCTCCTGCAGGAGAGGTAAGGGAAATAGTTCAGTGCCACACGAGGGCATGGGCTACAGCCAATGCTTTATGCATCATGAAACAGAAGCCCCCAGAGAGTCTGTGGGTTTCCATATGCACGGAATTATGAATTCCAGTCCCCAGGCTCCGTGTAGGTCTTCCTGGGGGACAAGGACTGGCAGATCAGAGACAGAGCGGGCCCTTCACGCAAGCCTCTCCCGTCGTAAACAGTGCGCTCTGCCATTTACCACGAGCCTGTGTTTGCCCAGCACTAGGATGTCTTTTGGTTTCAGACACGTTTTTCCCCGGGGGCACGTGGTGCACCCGGTGAAGCATCACCCGGGCAGGAGCGGCTCTGCCGCTACACAACGTCCTTCCCTTCGCAGCCGCAGAAAGAAATGCTGGACCAGCACCCCACCGGCCAGGGCTCTGCCTGCCCAAGCACAGGGTCCCCAGCCACAGTCGGCTGCCGCAGCCTAACCCCAGAGATGTGACACAAGGGGCTTCAGCCCAGCAAGGTCAGGGCTGAACCAGGTCTCTGAAAGGCCTCCAGGCTTTTAGGAAAAGCTGCATTGGCCAGGTGAAACCCCGGAGCAACACAGATCCCCAGAGGTCATGGAAAACATGGGAAAAGGATTGTGTTAATTGAGGAAGAACTAAAAGCTTTACGTTTCTTTAGCTTGCAGCACCGTTTCACAGCCCGCAGCGTGTTAAAATGTCAGAAGGCAATACACAGAATAGCTGCAAGAATATTTCTGAACAGATGCACATTTTGCAAGCCAAAGGAATGGATATTCAAAGTTTGTTTTCATTTCCACTTAACTGCAGGTAAGAAAAATGTGGCAGCATGGTCCTGGTATGTTTTGCAAAAAGGCTTCTTGTTACTCGGATTAAGATCGGAAAACATTAATCTTGAAAGGGCTGAAGGCAGACATGCCAACAGCATTCAAAGGGAGTTAAGGGCTGCCACGGGGTGCAGGAGAAGAGCAGAGCAGTGAAACAGATTGCCGAGGCCCCCGAGAACAGCCAGCCAGACACTCGGAAGCCTCTGCAGCATCCTGCCTGCCCCCACGTCCCTTCCAGCGCTCCCCCAGTGCTCGCCCGAACCAGCCCACGAGCTCATCGCCACCAGCAAGGTGGTCCCGCTCCATCCCACGCCCCAGGCACGGCTTCTGCCCCCCCTGCTCACCAGGCAGCTCGGCTCGAGCCCAACACCCTCTGCATCCTCCCACCGCTGACCTGCGCCGGCTCACAGATGGCCCCGGCAAGCAGCCACTGGGGACGGCCGGCCGTGGGAAACACCTCCCGTCCCAGGTGAGGCAGCTTGGTAACCGCGTGCCCTGGGAACGCTGCCCCAGGCTGAGAGCTGGAGGAGCTTCACCCCCTCTGCTTGGCAGAACAGAGTACCAGAGGTGAGGGTCCCATCCCACCAGCACCCCTCCACGGCATGGACACAGTGGGGCAGTGGTGTCTGGGAGGTGGCCGGTAGAGGCCAGGGAAGCACCAGGGCCCAGCTGAAGTCAGCGAAGTTCAAAGGGAGAGGCGACACCTCCCACGAAGGTCAGTCCCACGCTTGGACGGCTGCCCTGGGGGCGATGCCCGTGGATGCACGCCTGTGCCACTGCTCAGGATCTGCCCCTGCTTCTGCTACACCAGAAGGTCTAGCCCGTGCAGCAGTACCCGGTTGGGAATTATGACTGCAGTGGCCAGCAGGAAGAGGGAGGTACTCAAATATCGCCTTTTGACCTTCATATCTACGCGCTCTCCCAGACCACCACCCTCTCCCTTACGAGCATGAGCCAACAAGAAGCCCTTGCCTCCCCCCAGCATGACTGAGCCCCAGGTCCTCTCTCCCCTCCATGAGGCTGAAGCCTCTATGCATTTAAAGTCAGCCACACTGAAACAAGGGTTTTTCGTGGGGATTTGGAGAAGAGTCAGAGAACCCAGGGTATCCGAGGCACGAGCCACGAGTACTCACCACCTTCAGCTCAGGCACCGAGCGACTGAGGGTCCATTCCTGGCTGTTCACAAACGAATCTGCAGAACAGAAAGGAGAAATCATCAGGTCACCGTGGTCTCCCTCGAGATCCTAACAAGGATCCTGCCATGCTCTTCCTGCTCCCTCTGGGCAGGAGGCTCTTCCCTCCCTCCCACCTCATCGAGGGACACACAGCTGCAGGAGGTCCCACTGCTGCCCGTGCCCGGGAGGCTCTGCAGCCAGCGCTGCGGAGGGGAAGGAGCAGCCGAGCCAGGGGCAGAAAGGCAGCAGAGAGCCCACGCACCGTGGGCTGGGGACCTTCCCCCAGCCCTGCGGGACCGCAAGCAGCCCTACAGCATCCCCTTCCTCAAGGCACGTGGGACGAGGGAAGCACCAGACCAGATGCCTTTCCGGGGGGCACATGCCATAAAGGACCCCAGAACTAAGGGCACTAACAGTGAACGCAGCGCCCTGAGCCCTGCACTCGGGCTACACCACCAGCGTGTCGTGCGCAGTGCGGGTAAAGAGCTGAAGGCACGCTATAATCTGTGTTCACGATTGAAAGTGAACACAGTTCATTATGTGTACGTTATGTAATTTGCAGAACATTGTACTAGGCTTAAGAAGGTTGTAACAATCAGGCACAGCTTTGAGTGGTGCAGGAAACACCCTCTCTCCTGCCACAGAAATGACAAACACTTCATTTACATCCAAACAATCTCCAGGAGCGGGTCAAACAACAGACTTGCCAAATAAAACCAGACTCGGTGGAGGAGGAGCAAGAGCAAGAGAACACCTTGAATATCAGAAGTAGCCAGCAGCCACTCCCAACAACACTGGAGTCCTTCATTTGCCTTGGATGAGGAAGTACACCCTCCACCCAAAGCCAGATGGCTACGGCGTAGGGGGCCGAAACAAAAGAGCAGCACTTGCTCTACGTTAATAGAGTAAAAATAATAAAGGATTTTTGGAGACCGGAAACCTGTGGGAGCACTGCTTCTTCAAGGACCTGCAATAAACTTGCTGAATCCGCCGCCAGACTGCTGCAGAAATGGAAATCTCGGCCGGGTTCAAGAAGGGAAGAGGCGACTCTGCGAGACCCAGGCGCGGGCAGCGACCCAACACGAGGGCCGGGGGCCCGGGCGCTGCTCCGGCGTCACCCCCGGCCGCAGGGGAGGGCGGCCCCGGCCCCCCCGGCCCCCCCGCCGCGCCCCGGTGCGCGCCCCGGCGCTGGGCGTCTGCACCGGCACTGCCCAAACCAGCCGGGCCAGCCGGCGGCCCCGGCCCTCTGCCGAGTGGGTGCCTCCTCCGGGGCTGTGCCAAGCGCCGCGGGCAGAAGCCAGGGCAGCGCAGGAGGTGCTGCCGGAGCCGGGCAGGAGCAGAGGGCAGCGCCAGGCTCTCCAGCCCTGCCGGGACCCGGGCAGCGACTATCTTCACCCCCGTTTATGCCCCTGCCCTCCTAACTCCCACGGGAAGGTCGGACGCGCGACGGCTGCCATCCCCGCTCCGTCTCCAGGCTGCTGCCTCGTCCCCTCCCTCCCCAGCCGGCCCGGGGAGCCGGCGGGAGCTGGGCAGCCCGAGCTGCGGGGGGCTGGCAGGGGCCCTGCCCTTCACACCCCACATCCGCACGCTGGGAAAACCGTGATCCAGCACTGAGCCTGCACCGCAGCGCTCGGGCAGCCGCCCGCGCCCGCAGCGCGTTTTTCCATCGTGTCAAAAAAAGGGGAGAATACGGTGCTTGCACCTAGGGTTTGCTATTCGTATGCTAATTTAACAACACTTCTTCTTCAGAAACCAGGACAAGAAGCTACAGACAAATAAAACACGAGTCTGATGCAGTAATACAAGGTTATTTATGATCATCGTGAAGGCTCTTAAGAGGAACCGTTTCTTCATGGGCTCTATCTTTCACCTATCCTTTCTTTTTTTCAGGCAGAGGTAAAATCTTTATTAAAACAACGAGTAAATTGGGAGAAAAATGGTACGTTCTTGAGTCTTCTCAAAAAGGTAACAGCACACCTCTATTTCTAACTGCATTACTTTGTCTAAAAAAAGCTGTCACCTCCACCTGTAACTTCTGCTCCGCTTAGTCCCGTTGTCAGTTAGCTGCGATGGTTAAAGCGCCATCAGTACTTTCTCCTTTGCTGGCTTTCCCTCCCTCCAGATTAGATGAGGCAGCATATTTGCACTGTTTCACTATATATACACGTTGTTCTCGAACTACAAAAAACTGGCGAAAAAAACAAGCAGGTTTTTCGAGGGGTTCTGAGTGGAGCACAAGCCAAATGCGCTCGCTGACTTGGCCTTGGGAAAGAAAGAGGCAGAGAGAGGCCTGGAGAGGGCAGGCTATGCTCTTCTCTTTCTGTTCTCCAATGCTCAGGATAGAGAAACCACCCAGATTTTTGCCGGTTGCCTCCTTTGCCAATTATTCTTACAGATTTTTCTTTTTTAACCCATGTTCAGGAGTTCATTAGCAACAGCTTGATTTTTTAACTTGCTGCAAAGACCTCTCAGTAAATCTTAACACAAATAAGTAACTGTGACACGACGCCAACTCAGCTACATTCAGCCATTAAACTATTAACTACCATTAGCCCGCTGAACCCAAAACACCGACGTGCCACCTGCGCCCCTCTGCTTCTCAACCAGCTGCCAACATGCGCCAGCTCTGAATTTGAGCCCAGGCCACCGGCCGGCCCCGGTGATCGACCCGGGGTCCCGGAGCAGCCCGGCACAGCGGCTGCACCCGCGCTGCCTCTGCTCGGCAGCGTGGGCCGGGGTGCCGGCCCCCCTCTGCGCGGCACAGCCGGAGCTCCTGCCGCCGCAACGCCCCGTGCCCGACGGCGAGCGGGATGGAGCCGCTGGCAGCGACGCTCCCGCCGCCACCGCTCGCGCCTGCCCCGCGCAGCAGCGGGGGGGGACGAGCCCCGCGCTGGCACCGCACCCCAGCTCGCAGCACCCACCATCCAGCCGGAGCTCGCGTGCCGCCGTCTGGCCTCAACGCCAGGCTAAGCGGGGTGAGGGTCCCTGCCCAGGCCAGCTCGTCACCCCCAGACCCCGAGCGAGGGACGGGGCTGTCCCTCCTCGGGGCCAGGGAGCAGGGCTCGCCCGAGCGCAGGACGGGGCTCGCGGCGGGCACAGCCTGGCACCAGGAGGTGGGCAGTCACCCACAGCTCACACCACCGCTGCTGGGGAAAGACTGCAGCCTGATGGAGAGGCTGCTCAGCACCAGACCTCCTCTCTGCCACCACGGGGACAAGCTGCTTCCTCTCCCCGGGCGCGGCGGGGGCTGCTTCACCCCAGGACCAGCAGCTTCTGTGGAGGGCAGGAGGCTGCCCAGCATCGTTACCTGGGAACGGCCACCTGGATTCGGATCGAGCATCTGCCCAGCCCAGCACCCCCTTGCCAGCACCAGTTAGGACATGGGAACCCAGGGCGAACAGGAACATGGTAAGAGTACAGGACACTGACCCCACGTGTGCTTGCAGCTGCTGACTTCTTCAGCTCAGGGATCTCCTGGGGCTTGCCTATATAGTAAACCTCAAAAATCTCTCCTTTGAGTAATTGTTCTGTCTCCTTTTAAAACCATGTAAAATTTCACTTCCACATCGTTCTTTATCAAGGTGTTTCAGCAGTATAAATACCCGCTCCCTGAAAACCCACTTTCTTCTGTTTCAGGCTTGACTTCACTGGGTGCCCACAGCCCCTGGCCCAGCAGCAGCGAGCCCAGATCCCCAGCCAGCCTGACCAGCACCACCAGCACAGTGAAAGTGCATCTCCCACTGCAGCCCACACAGCGGACTCCCAGCTGCTGGATCGCGCCTGGTGCAGAAGCTGTTGTGCACCTTCCACCCTGCTCAGCGGGAGAGGATGTGTCCGCTGCACGTGTTGCTGTGTAAAGCATCTCACCTCTGACAGGCGGAAGGCAGACGGCTCTACCAGCGGGTTCCACGTGGCTCCAGCCACTGACCCTGCCAGACCGCCCAGCTGCTTCACCGCAGGAGAGCCAGCTGTAAGGGAAAGGCACCCCACCTGCGGTGTTTCGGGGTCAAGACACCCGCAGTGTAAGCGCTCACAGAGGTATGGACGAACCCACTCTTCTTCCAGTACCCGGGAGGGTAAAAGCAAGAGCTGATAGACTACATGACCAAAGGAACAGAGACTAAGGTGGAAGTGGCCCTGAACTGAAGACAGCCACAGGATTCCTTCGCCATCGCCTGGAGAGTTACTGAGACACAGATCTTGGAGGGGCCAGTTCCCTCTGTGGTGCCCTCCAGAGCCAGGGTCCCAGGTGTCCGGATCAGAAGACCCTCGTGCCCACCCGCCATCCCGGGCCGTACCCGTGCACACAGACCCTTCTGCTAACGAACTCGCCTCTCCTTCAGCTGGGCATCCCACCCTGACTCCAAGCTGCCCGCAGGGCGCACCGCTCCTCGCACCAACCCACCCACTCTGTCCTAGGGACGAAGCAAGGCAGAGACGTGAGGTGAGGGGGCCGCACACACCCACACCCCGGGGTAGGCACGTGTCCTCCACCTGCAGCTTGCGGCATGCCCGGGAACCTTCCCAGCTTCTGCGGGAGCGTAGAAGGAGCATCACGGTGTCCTGCAGCACGTCCCCCAACGCCGCTTCCCAAAACACCCAGCTTGCTCCACAGCAAGTCAATCTGGTGCAGACTCCTTGAGGAAGAGCGCTTGGACCAAGCTCCCCTGCCCGCCTGACTGCTGGCACCAACCGGCCAGGCTTAGGTCTGGCTTTGGACGAGCTTCCTGCAGAGTTTTGGGGCTTTCTTTAACAGTGCCTGAAAGCTGAAACTCCTCAAAAGCAGGATGCGTTAGTGTCAGCTTCCCCAGGTTACTCAGTTAATAAAGCAGCGTTTCCACGCACACGCTTCTAGCACTCCCAGCAGACCATGGGGAGAAGCTTGGCTCTGCTCATCAAAAGGAGATAAAAATAAATGTCTTCAGTGGCATCAACCGCCAGTCTGCAGCATGCATCTCCTCCTGCCTGGAGCGCCCTGAAGAGCAGGCTCCAGGAGATGCAGCAGTTCCTGCAGCAC